CACAGATATATTTGTTATATTGTTGTTTTATCAGAACATGCGTATACCATTCCATGTAGCCCATACAGTAAGGCTATTCTTAATAGTACTTTTCAAAATTGTTTTTTGTATTAAGCATAATTCTTGTACATATTCTAAGACTTTTCAAAGATGAAATTCTTTTAATAAATGATGCTTAATTGGCAAGAAAGATAGACCTTGTCTAGCGTTGCCTCGTAATATATTCTCATTACTTATCGCCAATTTTAAAGTTTAGTGTGATTAAACGCGTGGTTCTCCAATGTAAAATTTTATTTTATATGAATTGAGATGAATGCTCCAATACTATCCTATCAATAATTATTACTCTGAAATTTTATAACTATTCAGTAACTTCGACTACAAGCCTGAGGGAGCGCCTGACAGTATTTCCTTGACCTCTGAGGATCTGGCTTGCCTTGCGCCTAATATCTTCCTCAACGACACAATTATAAATTTCTATCTACGATATCTCTACTACGAGCAATTGACTGCTTTGCAAAGACGATCAACATACCTCTTTAATTCGTTCTTCTACAATCGCCTTGTATCCATCAAGGGTGCATTTTTGGAATCCAGCCCTGGCGTACTTTCGAATGACACACTAAATGGCTCCATAAACTGCTCCTCTGCTCAAATGACTTTACATCATCCGGTGCACATAAATACTCAAGAGTATGTTCTATTTTTTCACCAATTATTTTCCTTATCAGGTAAATTGCTTTTATCTTTTTATTTTTTTAATTGGATAATCTGGGCCTTTCTACTAAAATTTCGGCTGAGTATCTAGGTTAAAATATGTTATTTGATGTTTTTCCTGTTTTTAATCTTATTTAAGCTTCGTGAATATTTTGGTCCTTTTTTGTACTTAACTTTTATTTCTGACCCTAATGAGTACTTATTTTTGAAATGATTTCCAGGGCTAAATTGGCTCATCATGCGAACGTTGCCAAATGGACCAGACGTGTGGATCTGTTTTCAAAAGATCACATTATAATTCCCATAAACGAAAAGTTAGTAGCGTCCACTAACCTCCCAACGATATTTTATTACTTTGAGGACCCTCTTCAAAAAATGTTCTTTTATTTTAGCTCTCATTGGTTTCTTGGGCTAGTCTGTTACCCTTGGATGGCTGGTATGGTTAGTTACACTGCCCTCTATCAAGCTGCTGCGTTCGATTTGTGTCGATTGACTGACGATTTCGTAGATGTTGACCAGATGGAGATTTCCGACGAGGAGAATGCGACAGAAGAGGTGATTGAGTATCTTCCAACGGATACCAGGGTAAATTTATATAGTTTCCTACATTTTTGATGCAGTCATTTTTATAGTCAACTACTTTTTGTATTTACGTTAAAGGAATATTTTTTATATCTAGGGCTCTGCATTCGACAGGTGGCGTCGAAGACGATTAGCCTGTTTGAGAAAAGGAGGAATAAATGCTATGTAAGCATGACCTCCCATCCTATCCTTAGTCTGCTTTACGTTAATGTCTCTAATTTATAATCACAATTTGAACATATTTTCCTTAGTTATCTTGGCGTATCAAATTCTTTTTACCTACTTCTAATCACTCATTTTTTTAGTGTTCTAAAATGAAATTTTTGTTCAAGTCCCTCGAAATCCTTATATTTTTTTAACACAGTTGTTTTGTTTAGATTTTTTCAGGAAATGGTTGTTTAAATCTAGATTAAGATAATTTTTAGAAATTGCCGGGTATTTATAGAATCTTAATTTTTGATTCTTTGATTCGTATGTTGATTTTTCTTCCTTCTTCGCCAATATATTTCTGCTTGCAGACGCCGCATGCTATACAGTAAACTCGCGACCAATCCCATTTTCCCACCCTCTCATTTTGAGTAGGTAGGCTTGTAATGAGTTTTATTTTTCTTTCTTTCGTGATCACCTGAATATTCCATTTTCTCAGTACTGTTGAGTTATTTCGCATGAAGGTAGATATATCCAACTTTGTAAGTCTTTCTCAATCCTTATTGGCTTAAATATTCCTCGGTAACGGATACACTAGATAAATTATGAAAAGAAACATACGGGCTGTGGAGAACCGATGTTAGAATAGGGATTATGAAAGTAA